AGTAAAACTTTCACTGAGATTCTTCAGAAATATGGGATATTTCATCAGCTCTCCTGTCCTTACATGCCAGAACAAAATGGGGTTGCAGAACGCAAGCACAGACATCTTTTAGAAACCACGAGGACTCTCCTGCACATTGCTTCTGTTCCGAACTCTTATTGGCCTGATGCTGTTTTAACGGCTGTATATCTTATAAACCGAATGCCGTCTCCAAATACGAATAACCTATCCCCTTATGAACTCCTCAATCACAGAGTGCCGGCTTACGATCACCTCCGAATTTTTGGATGTGCTAGCTTTCCCCTGACACCCTCTACGCTTCGCAACAAACTTCAACCGAAATCTCCACTGTGTGTCTTTTTGGGTTACTCGGACACATATAAAGGCTATAAGTGTTTAAATCTATCCACTTACAAAGTCATTTTGTCCAGACATGTCAAATTTGACGAAAATTTTTTTCCTTTCTCTAAAATGCAGATTGTTGTTACCCAAAAACCTCCTGAGCAATCTTCTTTTAACTTTCTCATTCCCACGTCTGTAGCTCAGCATCATAATGTATCCACAAATACATTGCCTAGTTCATCTACAACTCAGCATCATATGACAACAAGCGCTTCACCTCTCAACCTTCCAGCTGCTGATGTCTCTCACACTCCAGACGAATCACCTGATCCTCCCTATATCCCAGCCATTCCTCATTCGATGGTCACTCGCTCACAGACAGGGTCGCTCAAGCCTATCAATCGTATGAATTTACTTCATACTCAGAATGAGCTCACTGATCCAGTCATCCCATCGAACTACACTGAAGCTAGCAAGCACGTTGAATGGCGAAAAGCAATGGCCGACGAATTCCTTGCGCTCCAGCTTCAAGGAACATGGAGTCTTGTACCTCGGCCACCGAATGCATCTATACTGGGATGCAAATGGACATACCGCATTAAACATCATTCTAATGGATCCATAGCCAAATACAAAGCACGGCTAGTTGCACAAGGTAATCACCAGGAATATGGCCTCGACTACACGGAGACGTTTAGTCCAGTTGCAAAACTACCAACAATCAGAATTCTTCTCGCGGTTGCCCTTCAGCATAATTGGCCGGTTCAACAACTGGATGTTGCCAATGCATTTCTTCATGGTTCACTGTCAGAAACAGTCTTTATGCGGCAACCCCACGGGTTTGAGGACGCTACCAACCCAGAATATGTATGTCGTCTTCACAAATCTATCTACGGGCTTAAGCAAGCCCCGAGACAATGGTATAACACTTTCACTTCGTTCCTTGTCTCCATTGGTTTCATACATAGTAAATCCGATCCTTCCTTGCTTATATTTAAACAAGAAAATACTGTCATATATTTACTCGTATATGTGGATGATATCCTTATTACGGGCAGCAATAACGTTGCGATTAACAAAATTGTAACGGCACTCAATGGTAAGTTTGCTATGAAGCAGCTCGGCGAAGCTAACTCATTTCTTGGATTACAGATAATCAAGGCACACGACTTGTATTTCCTTTCCCAGGCGGTCTACGCAAAATCCATCCTCAACCTGGCTCAACTAACCAATTGCAATCCTGTAGCAAATCCGACATGTACCAAAATGCCGAAAGACATACCTCCCGATCCAATACTTGCTGAGCCAACTTATGTACCGGAAGATTATTGGTTCACTACAGTATCTGTGTCTCACGCGACCAGATATTGCTTATAGCGTCAACCTACTTTCACAACATATGCATCAACCAATGCTTGAGCATGCATATCTTCTAAAGCGATTGCTACGCTATATTAAAGGTACGATCGATTTCGGTATTCCTATTTCTAAATCTAATTTATCCCTCACTTCTTTTTCAGATGCCGATTGGGCCGGTGATCCAGTCTCAAGGAAATCAACATCGGGCTACTGTTCATTTCTAGGTGACACAATCATATCCTGAACAGTCAAGAAGCAAACTACAGTCGCTCGATCCTCCACGGAGTCTGAGTATCGATCGCTTGCAGCTCTCACGGCAGATATTATTTGGCTCCGTCGTCTATTACTTGACTTTGGCGTAAATTAAGATAAACCCACTGTAAAACCCTTCAAAAAGCTGATTTTTTTAGTGCAGTTCGTCTGTACGAACTGGATTTAATACTGGACGAACTGAAGAAATTTGTGAAGAAATCTGTCATTGTCGTCTGTACGAACCTGGAGCAGTCGGGACGATCCGTCAGGACAAAAATTGTCCAGAGAGAAAATCGTCCTTACGATAATTGATTTCGTCTGTACGAAATTTGTCCAGAGAGCAAATCGTACCGGGACGAATTTTGGATCGTCCGGGACGATCAGTGTTAATAAATATCGGATTCGAGATATTTTTATTCATTTCGAAGAGAGAGAAGGAGAAGGCAAGAGAGAGAAAGAGAAGGAAGAGAAGGAAAAGCCGGATTTCGGAGGCCGCGGAGCGCTTTTCGTCCGACGACGTAGTTAGAAGATTTGTTTGTCTCGC